AACCATATGCATATACATGTATAATGGTTAACAAAATTGCACAATATCAACGACAACTTACTCAGTAACAGTATATATAATTTTAAAGTTTGTTCATTCACTGCAACCAGGTATATCAATCATGTTTCTACTCTTGTTTAAATAAACCAGGCATTAAAATACTGAATTTTTACAAGGACACACTTTGCCTTCAGAGGCGTATTTTTGGTATAAATGCGCAGACTCACGAGAACGACTGAACGAGTGGCGAAACCACAAGTTTAGCGTCGAAGACGCGAGCTTTTAAGCGGGTCTCTGAAATGGCATTTCCAGAGTTCTGAGACTGAGAACAGAATTTGCAAAATCTTTGGCCATTTTGCGTGGATTACATTAATATATTTTCAGTTTAATATATTTTCAAGTACACACTTTTCAATTTACAAGGGCACATTCGCCTTTTTCAAGGACACAAAGTGTGTACAAGGACACGGTATTTTAATGCCTGAAATAAACTATTACAAAGCCCAGTCGAATTGTAATAAAGACCCAACGTTTCGACACTCCAGTCTAGTGTCTTCATCAGGGGCGATCATCTAAAGTTGCAACCATGGCTTCTTAAATACCCAAGGGATGACGTCACCTGCCAATGAGATGCATGTATTCCTCTGGCAAATAGGCACCGTCATCCCTATTCAAAGCATGATTATTCATATTTATATGCCACGCTTCTAGGCATAGTCTTTGTATTGACCATAGGCGAGTGTTTGTGGTAATTACTTTAGAGTTTTCCCACGCAATCTCGTGTTTGGTGTCACACACATGTTCTGCTAAAGCTGATTTTCCCTTGTCTGAAGTTGAAACAACCTTTTGATGTTCTTTTATCCGTGTACCAAACTGGCGTTTAGACTGACCCAAATACTCTTTCTCGCAGTCACCGCATGGTATAGAATATATATATAGCATGAGTTTTAAAACAAATCAGAAACTCATGCTACATATTGCTTTATGTGCCCCTGACATGCTAAAATAAGTTAACATGGAAACGGGGCCATTGGGTAAAAGAGAATAATCGATAATGTCTATTGGTACAAGCATTGGTACTGCAGCTTTGTTACAAGTTGTGCGTTTTTACGTGTAGTCGGGCATTAAGACACATTAACTTCTTTAAAATCAACTTTTAAGGAGCAAGTTGTGGGATGGATAGACTTGCTCCAAGTCTCTCTTTCATTGTCATATAGTATCGATCCACTATAGTGTACATTACATGACGTAGTATGGAGGGGCGGAGCGAGAAAGAGAGACTTATCAACTTCGGAAAATCTCGGTTCAAAACTGAACCGAAAATGCAAGACTTGCTTTAATTGTTTTCTGTCAGTGCTTTATGTATTGATCTACACGGGTAAAAATTAATCATGTTGTTCGGCGTTGTTCAAAACAGGAGCGAACAATGTTGTGCTGCACCCCGTGAACAATATTGTTAACAAGTTGTTCAACCATCAGTACTGTTGCAACTTGTTAACATGATTGTCAACAAGTTGCAACAATATTGATGGTTCAACAACTTGTTAACAATATTGTTCACGGGGTGCAGCACAACATTGTTCGCTACTGTTTTGAACAACTTGCATCAACATGATGATTTTTACGCGTGTAGCACAGTGTAAATAACATGAGTTTCCATTATAGTAAATAATGCAGAAAGAAATTGAAGGAAAACAATTAAAGCAAGTCTTGCATTTTCGGTTCAGTTTTGAACCGAGATTTTCCGAAGTTGACAAGTCTCTCTTTCTCGTTCCGCTTCTCCGCGCTACGTCATGTAATGTACACTATAGTGGATCGATATGACAATGAAAGAGAGACTTGGAGCAAGTCTATGGGATGAATGACTAGTCGTACACTTTTTATGAAAATTGTTTAATTTCACCATTTATTCATAACTACAACTACAATTGGAAATCGATTGGACGTTTTTAGAAACTTAATACTGATTTAAATGAATGTAAACATATACATCACTGAAATATACTACAATTGTATATTTACGATCAAATATCAAAATATGTTTCTAATGTTCCACGTCTTCTCACGTCAGTGGTCCAACAATGAAATCCTCCGCCCAGCGACATGGCATACATGATATCCACAGGGATACACTCGATGCCAAGATCTTCAAACATCTAAAATAAATTATTATATATATATATATATATATATATATATATATATATATATATATATATATATATATATATATATATATATATATATATATATATATATGCCTTTATACCTAATTTCAGTAATTTGCATAAAGTTGCTGCAATATATATATATATATATATATATATATATATATATATATATATATATATATATATATATATATATATATATATATATATATATATATATATATATATATATATATATATACGCGCGTATGCAAGTTATCGTTATCGTTATATCGTTAATATTTTAATACAATTTTTCAATCGAATAAGTTGCAACAAGCAATCATCAGGCAAAAGTTGCAACAAGCAATCATCAGGCAACATATTAATACGGTTAAGTTGTTGCGTTTTAAAACGCAACAACTTAACAGGCAACATATTAATACGGTTAAGTCGTATGTTATATGCTCTACAATTGTCTTGTATTGAGCACTCTATATATATATATATATATATATATATATATATATATATATATTCATAGTACGCGAGCATTGATTGCTCGAGAAACGTGTTTCTATCTGTATGGAAACGAGAAATTTCCCGTCTCGAACTTTGATTTTAAAACGTCGCGCTAGCTCTAATCGAAATAAATGTGTGATAAGTCTCGTTCTCCCAAACTCTCACGAGTGTTTCTATTTATCAATTAAGAAGGCGAGGTGATCACAAGTCTATATTCACTGAGCTGCGAAGCACCGAGCCTGAGGGGACTAATTGTTTTAGTAAATTCAGTATTGAAAAATAATAATATATACAAACGTTATAAATATAATTTAATTCACTCTTCCGCTTTTGAGTCAAACGAATCCAGCTGCGGTCGGAACCTTGTCGCCCGATTCCGTTATTTCCGGTTTTAAATTGCCAAATAAATTGTTTTAGGCATCTAAAAGGTGCTTTTGTCTTTCGGAAATACGTTAACACCATATATATTGTTGCTTCTTTTGCTTTTATAGAGGAATAGTATGTGCTTTAATTTCTTCATTTTTTTCTTCGATGATTGTTGGCAAGTGGATTTTCGGCAGCCATTTTGTTTTGAAAGCAATATAGTTACTGCTCGGAGCAGACCTGAGCAGTAACTATTGCCTCAGAGGGAGGGAGCCAATGGGAACGCTTGAAAGTCATTTTTCAATACTGAATTTATACTAAAACTGTATAGAAACACGGAAAATGTTTTCTATTTTCATTATTAGTTTCAATGGACCATTTGCATTATAGACTAAATTTTGATCCAGACAAAAATTTCATCACAGCTTGAAAGAGCGTCACAAAATTAGTAATATTCCAAAGTTTCGTTGCGAAATGTTGTAAAATGCGGATAATATAGCCTTGCGAAATTTGCAATTTTCAGTCATTTTGTATTACAAACGGGAAATTGATGCCCCAACACCCGACTGGGCTGTCAATTTCCCGTGCGTAATACAAAATGACTGAAAAACGGCAAACTTCGCATGGCTATATTATCCGCATTTTACAACATTTCGCAACGAAACTTTGGAATATTACTAATTTTGTGATGCTCTTTCAAGCTGTGATGAAATTTTGTCTAGATCAAAATTT